GTCATTGTTGTTTTGGCGGGTCCGGGCTGGGGATTCGAACCTGCCACCTTAGGTGTACGTGGCTGGCGCCTTAGCCGGTTGAGCTATAGGCGCCGAGCTGTCTGTCATTTCAAAACATTTTAAGTTTTTCCTTTCCCATTCATATGCCTTTCTTTTATTTATTAACTTATTTTTTTCTATTCCATTAGCAACATAGTCATGCACTTTTATGACTGCTGTGTCTTCCTGATGAATTGTTCTTTTATGTATATAAAATGTCTGTATTTCTTACATGAATTTTATCTTGAAATCTGTTTTATCTGATGTCAATATAACTATCATAAGGCCTTTTTATGCTTACTTTGTATATTCTTTGTCATTTACTTTTTTCTTTTCATTGTGTTTTGTTTGTATGTTTGTTTAGAGACACTAGTTAGAATGCAGTGACCTCATCATAGCTCACTGCAACCTCAAACTCCTGAGCTCAGGATTCAGGTGATTCTCCTGCTTCAGTCTCTGGAGTGATTACAGGCACTCCCCACCTTGCTTGGATGACTTTTCTATTTTTTTTTGGTAGAGATTGGGGTCTCCCTTTTGCTCAGACTGGCCTCCACTTCTGAACTCAAGTGATCCTCCCACCTTGGTCTCCCAGAGTGTTAGAATTATAGTCATGGGGGCAGCACCTGCAGCTCAGTGGATAGGGCGCTGGCCCCATATACTGAGGGTGGTGAGTTTGAACCCAGACAGCCAGCTAAAACAACAATGACAACTGCAACAAGAACAAAGAAAAAGCCAGACGTTGTGGCGAATGCGTATAGTCCCAGCTACTCAGGAGACTGAGGCAAGAGAATTGCTTAAGCCCAAGAATTGGAGGTTGCTGTGAGCGGTAATGCCATGGCTCTCTACCAAGGGCAACAAAGTAAGACTCTGTAGTTTAAAAAAAATAAAAGAAAGAATTATAGTCATGAACCATCATGCCCAGCCTCATTTACTTACTTTTAACCTATCTACATCTTTATGCTTAAAGTCTATTTCTAGCATGTGGTTACTTGTTATATTATTCATTGTGATAGTCTGTCTTTTAATTGAAAAAAAGTTTTGTTTAACTGAGACAGAGTCTCGTTGTCACCCTTGGGAGAATGCCATGATGTCACAGTTCACAGCAACCTCAAACTCTTTGGCTCAAGCAATTAACTTGCCTCAGCCTCCTGAGTAGCTGGGACTACAGGTGCCCACCACAACTGGCTATTTTTAGAGGTGAAGTCTCACTCTTGCTCAGGCTGGTCTGGAACCTGTGAGCTCTAGCAATCTGCCTTGGCCTCTCAGAGTGCTAGGATTATAGGCATGAGACTCTGCACCCAGCCTAAAATTTTTTTTGAGACAGAGCCTTGCCCTGTTGCCCCATTCTTCTGCAGTGGCATCCCTGTAGCTCCCTGCAACCTCAGACTCTTGGGTTGAAGAGATCCTCCTGGCTTGGCATCCATAGCACAGTGGTTAATGTCAGCCACATAACACTGAGGGTGGTGGGTTCGAACCCTGCCCAGGCCTGCTAAACAACAATGACAACTGCAACAAAAAATAGCCAGATGTTGTGGCGGGCACCTTTAGTCCCAGCTACTTGGGCGGCTGAGGCAAGAGAATCGCTTAAGCCCAAGAGTTTGAGGTTGCTGTGAGAACTTTGACAACACAGCATTCTACTGAGAGCAAAGTAGTGAGACTCTGTCTCAACAAAAAAAAAAAAGAGAGAGAGAGATCCTCCTGCCTCAGCTTCCTGAGTAGCTAGAACTACACACATTTATTAGGATGCTTGGCTAAGTTTTCTGTTTTTAGTAGAGACAGGATCTTGTTCTTGCTCTGGCTGGTCTCCAACTCCTAAGCTCAAATGATTCTCCTTCCTTGGCCTCCCAGAGTGCTAGGATTACTGGGATGAGCCACCTCACTGGGCCTGAAGTTTTTAATCCATTAATCTTTAATGTAATTAGTGATATAGTGAGATTTAAGGTTACTGTTTTTATTTTTTGTTTTCTGTTGTCTCCTGCTTTTGTTTTTATGTTCCTCTTTTTCTTCCCCTCACTTTTGGGTTATTTGGACTATGTTTTTATTAATATGGAAAAGTTTATATTAACTGATTTTTAAAAATAATCTCTGTGTGTCTGCTGACAGTAATCGCTTTGATCAAACATGCCTAGATAATGCTGATTATACTTAAGTAAGAAAAAATTTTTCTCCTTTCAGCCAATAGATATTTGGAATATTTCTGATTTTTAAGGGATGTGATGAGATTGGGAAGTAAATTTAGTAGATTTAGAAAGCTTAATGATGGGTGGAGGGAGGGTGATTGGTGGGATCATGCCTAAGGGTACATGTGAATCTCTCTAAATATAGAATATAAATGTCTTAACACAATAACTAAGAAAAAGACATGAAGGCTATGTTAACCAGTTGGATAAAAGTATTTCAAATTGTATACAGAAACAGTACTCTGTACCCCATGATAGTATTAATGTACACAGCTATGATTTAATAAAAAGAATTTAAAAAATAGAAAGCTTAATGAATAATAGTTCATTTCTTACTAGAGTTTGACCTGCATTTTCTCTCTGATTTCTTAAATTATTTTAAAAGCATCAACTGCTGAGTGCGATGGCTCACAACTATAAACCTACCACTCTGGGATACCAGGGCAGGAGGATTGCTTTAAGGTCAGGAGTTCAAGACCAGCCTGAGCAAGATTGAGGCCCTTCCCATCTCTACTAAAAACAGAATAACTAGCTAGACGTTGTGGCGGGCCCCTGTAGTCCCAGCTCCTTGGGGAAGCTGAGGCAAGAGAATTGATGGAGCCCAAGAGTTTGAGGTTGCTGTGAGCTATGATGCCATAGCCCTCTCCCCAGAGTGAGACTCTGCCCGCCCTCCCCCCAAAGCATCAACTTTATCTTATTCTTTATATCAGGTAGCACCCAGCCATGATTACTCATAGTTAGGTGTAACCCAGTAAAAGTTTGAAGAAAGAATAAATGGTTTGCAGGTGGTTCTTATTTATTTCTGCCTTTCTGCCATAAAAACAATTCCAATATCTCTGGGAGGCAACTTTGCAATCTCCAATAACCTTTCGGTAATAGGATTTTCTTTCTATATATTCCTTCCCATCTCTCTGGGGGGGAAAGATGCCCCTCCCCCCAAAAGGGTTCAAGAATGGTGAAGTGGAGGGAAGTTTTGTCATATGTGATTCTTACTTTGTTTCTTGTAACTTTGTGTATAGTGTTCAAAATGAATCTGAGAGAAGCAAGGATGAGTCCAAGATTATGCTTGACTCTTTATTTTGAACTTTTGCAGTGTGAAAATTTTTGCTTGAAAGTTGTATTTGAGGCTCGGCGCCTATAGCTCAACCGGCTAAGGCGCCAGCCACGTACACCTAAGGTGGTGGGTTCGAATCCCCAGCCCGGACCCGCCAAACAACAATGACGGCTGCAACCAAAAAATAGCCGGGCGTTGTGGCGGGCGCCTGTGGTCCCAGCTACTTGGGAGGCAGAGGCAAGAGACTCGCTTGAGCCCAGGAGTTGGAGGTTGCTGTGAGCTGTAATGCCACGGCACTCTGCCCAGGGGGACAGCTTGAGGCT